TTTTTTTTTTGTCCCATGTTCTGATTTAGTAATTAAAACTCTAAGACTAGTGGGAATACTCATAGGTTGCATCTCAATCCCCATGAGTTCCTTTTTTTCAATTCTCATAAATATGTATTAATTTATTTTCCTTAAAAAAAACATTATACATATTTTCATTAATTTTATTTTATATCAAATTTACTGGTTTCTTTCATAGAGGGTAATATTTTATTTCTGCAGTTTATAGAGGGTAATATTTTATTTCTGCAGTCAGCCATTACTTTTGCCTCTGACAGTAACAAGCTAATCACTTTATTGTCTATTAAAATTTGTTGAGTTAAATTAAAAAAAAATTATTTTTTTAATATTTTAAAATTAAAATTTATAAATAAAAAATATATATTTTAAAATTTTTTTTAATAAAATTTGATATCATTCGATTTCAAATAAATAAAAATTTAATTTGATTACCAGTGGTTTAAAAAAAAAGAAAAAAGAAAAACAGCACTTCCCCATCAACTATGAAATACTTCACGTTCCAGAAACCCGTTGCCCCGGGAAAATATATCATCTTCAAAAAAACCCAAAAAAATGAGAAAAAAATCAAAAAATCTCATATTTATATCCAAACACACAGACAGCAAAGAGCTACTCCCAAAGACATCAAAATCTATCACCAAAGCTGCTTCTCCTTCTACTCCTCTTCCTCCTCCTCTCGCCCACGCCACACTCGCGCACATCACTTGATAACCAACAGAATCCGATCGGTCACTTTCGGATCAGTTTTTAGGGTGGAATCAACAACGGTGGAGATGGGGAGAGAATGAGGGTGAGAACCGGCGGCCGAGGTTGGAGCCAGTCATTTCAATTCGCTGTGTCAACATGTCGGTTTCCTGTTCCGATTGCTTCACCGACCTACTCTGCTGCGAGGATTCCTGCGATGTCTTCTCCGGAGAGTCGCCGGAATGTTCGTCGGAGTTCGATTCCTCAGCTTTCGTCGAGGAATCCTCAATCGCCGGTTTCATTGAAGACGAGAGGAACTTCGTCCGCAGATTCGACTACCTCACTCGATTTCACTCCCAATCGCTCGACGAATCGGCTCGAGAAGAGTCGGTTGCATGGATTCTAAAGGTACAGTGACTCCACAATTACAATTTGCGATGATGTCCCCGGCGCATGTTAGATAACTAGCCAGTGGTTTGCTAGAATGCGCCCGTTACGCTTTTATCCGAGAGATCGGAATCCGTCGCGTTTTTATGATTTTCCTACGAGCCGTCGAATCGACGGCGGATGAATCACGGCGCATTTACTTTTTGTTTCTTTGTTTTGTTTTTCTTTTTGTTTTTCCAGGTTCAAGCTTTTTATAACTTTCAGCCGTTAACTGCGTACCTTTCCGTCAACTACATGGATCGGTTCCTTTGTTCTCGCCGTTTGCCGGTGAGCTTCCGTCCATGTCCATTTCTGCTATTGTAAATTTGTAACGGTCCAAGTAGTCTGACAGATTAGCTGGACAATTCCGGATCCGGAATTTCAGTGATTAATGTTTTTGACTATTTGTTTATTCTTTTTGACTTTTCAACGAAGATGAGAAGGGGCGGTATCTCACTACGGTCTACAGTAGTAAATACTTCTGAGCACTGGGTCCTTTTTTAAGATTTTATAATTGTTGTCCCATGGTATTACTCTGAGCATTAATAAACCGCAAGGATAATCTAATTAACTTAATAATATATATATTTTTAATGAAATTAAGAGATTTGAGTTTGGGAAAAGATAAAAAAGATTGTATTTTAGTATGCAATTTAAAATAAAAATAAAAAAAAAAAGGTAATGGTGTACTTTCTTAAGCGCGTAGCTGGTGCTACTTTAATTGAAGATTGTTGAACTTAAGGTGATGACCATGCTTTTGGTCTGATTGTCAACCTATCACAGTGTAAAGATAGAAAAGCAATGGGTAAATGAGGCTAATCAACGTCTCTAGTTTACTGTGATTTTCATTGTTGTACAGAGTTTTCGCAATGAGATGCTAATTATTTTGATTTAACCTCAACTTTCAGCCAAATAGTAGGTGGCCTATGCAACTTTTATCTGTTGCTTGCTTGTCAATAGCTGCCAAGATGGAGGAACCTCTGGTTCCATCTCTATTAGATCTTCAGGTAATTTGTTGCATTGTAAACCTTAATTAACTCAATTTCTAGAGCTGAAAATTGCCAATATTTTTTTTTTCTAATTAATGGCATTTTATTATTGAATTGATATGCAGGTGGAAGGTACCAAATATGTCTTTGAACCAAAGACGATCCGCAGGATGGAGCTTTTTGTGCTCAGTGTTCTAGACTGGAGGCTGCGATCAGTAACACCATTCAGCTTCATCGGTTTCTTTGCCGTCAAGCTGGATTCAACAGCAACCTTTGTTGGGTTTCTAATTTCAAGAGCCACAGAAATCATTTTATCCAACATAAAAGGTATGAAGTACATATATAAAGAAAAAAGTATGTTCATAGATATACATAACATGCATATATACAAAGAATAAAAGGTTTATGATTAATGTAAACAGAGGCCAGCTTTTTAGAGTATTGGCCGTCAAGCATTGCTGCTGCTGCAATACTCTGTGCAGCCAATGAAATTCCAAACCTGTCTCTTGTAAATCCTGAGCATGCTGAGTCATGGTGTGATGGACTAAGCAAAGTAAGTAGACCACAGATTTTGAATGTAAGTCTCCTTACCTAATGTTATGACTTTAACAAGAACTACCCAATTTTTGCAGGAGAAAATCATCAGCTGCTACCGGTTAATGCAGGAACTTGTGCTTGGTAGCACAAGGAGGAAACAACCTAAAGTTTTACCGCAGCCTCGAGTGACAATCCGGGCCAGAATGAGGTCCACAACTGACTCATCATCTTCGTCTTCATCATCACCATCTTTTAAAAGGAGAAAATTAAATAACTTCTTATGGGTAGATGATGACAAAGGAAACTCCGAGTAAGGTGAGGAGGAAAAATAAAAAGGAGAAAATGGTGGCCCATGCTATTTAGATACCTCAATATTTTTTGGAGGGGTAAATTGACTCGAGTGATGTAGATCATGATTTAGTACATATAATGTATGTATGGGAGTTTGGTGAGTTTTGGAGATGGAGATTTATTATTATTATTATTTTAGTTGGTGGGCAATGCTATTCATGAATGGCTTAGCCGATTCCCAAAGGGGTGGGAATTTGCCGCAAAAGTATGGAGTATTTTTGTGTGAGAAAGTTAGGAAAAGAAATAGAATGAGAGAAGTTGTGTTTAGTAGTAGTGGGAGTCATGAAGTGTGAAAGGAGTGGGGGATTGAATTCAAAGCCCACATTGATTATTGAATGAAAAGGAAGGTAGTTGGTGGGACCCCTGCGTGGGTTAGGGAAAAGAATGAGAAGAGAGAAAATCAGATGGATCAGTAGTTGGGCAAAACAGGGGATTTGGGTTTGAAGTTTGAGTTTTCTCATGGGAACTGGTCAAGCTTCTCATCTAGTCCATCCATGAACACATAGAAGGAGAATAATTTGGCTCCATGTTTTAGACTTTTTCTGAGTGGCATGTATGCCATGTGTGTATGAGTGCTTTTTTGGCGGGAAATGCCCCTTTTTTTCTAAATGGCCATCCTTGATCTCTTGGCCTAATTATATACCCAACTCTTTTGAGAGCGGTGTTTCTTTTGATTTTTTTAAATTTTTTTCCCAGAGGAAAAACCTCTTCTCTGGCCTAAGTTTGGCCTAACATATAGAAAGAAGGTCTTTGGGTCCTTCTCTAAAGCTTGTTGTAATGGATTTATCAATAATTAAATGAATCATATATATTTTATTTATATTTATCTTTATTTGAGAGTAGACTATATAGTAGTCTTTTGTCTCAAGATTCAAATATATATATTTTTTCTGAGTTAATGCATGTCACGTGATTGACAATAGAGTTTGTAGGTTTCCCATTTGTTTTGACACACTCCTAACCCCCAATCTAAAACCTTTGCTTTTATGAACCGACTGTGTGGAATTTTGCGAAGGCATGCGGCATTGTCTGATTGTCTCAGTGCAGTGAAGGGGACTTATTATTGGTCCTGCGGGCCATAAACGCAGTCCCTCAATGAATTATTGCACCTTACCATATAGTGCCCTCTCGTGATCCCTCTATGGCCTCTTCTTCCTCTCTTTAAGTATCAGACAACTTGCACCTCATGATCCCACACCTATATAAATGGCTTGAATCTTCTTCATTTATATGTAGAGTGTCTATATGGTGGGTAGGATGAGATATTTGTAGCGGAAAAGCCAAAGTTTCAAAAAGCTATACCACCATAAAACCCTTTTATTTTATTTGCATTATTAGATACAATAGTTAAGTTTTTTAAAATTACAAGGATGGGAAAGGTATATATCGAAGGGGCCGGTTGCCTCTTTGTCATCTCTGCCCAATAATATAGTATTTATTATTATTATTATTTGCATGTGGTAACACGGCACAATGGCACTTTCATTGGATGCGTCTAAGGTAATAATGCATTAAATATATCCAGATATTAAAGGAAAGAATGCAACAGAACAGTGAAGGGGCTTTTTGATCCAGTGATAAAGTGACAAGTTGAATCTGACATCAATTACAACTTTAATCCATCCACTTAGGTATACATTGCATATATCAACTCAGTTCGACTTCACAAAAAGAGCAGTACTTGCAAATTTTAAAAGAATATCTTTATTTCAAAGGCGGAGTGCACCTAGCACTACCCTCCTAATAAGAGCAAACTTCTGCTGCTAGTGCTGTTAAAAGAAATGAGCAAAAAAAAAATGTCGGTGTACTTACATTACATGGACCACTCCTGTGGAGAAATTAGATTGAAACATCAAACATGGTGTGAATATTGTATAGTACATTTTTATCCAATTTCTCTTGGGATTTTGTTCACTTTTTTTGGATCATCGAAAATTCATGCAGGATGTCAGGAGTTTGGACCCCTGCACAAGCATGGTTGATTAAAATGAATCAAGAACCCCAAGCATTAATTTAATTGACTTGTGGTGATGACATTGATAAACAAACCTTTGTTCTCGGAAAAATGCACATGGCCTTTACAATATAAAAAGGCCATTTTGCACTCGTGTGGATCCCATATGCAAACGTGTAGGAATCCACTTGATAAGAATTAAATCAATTCTCTTTTGAATTTTGTCAACAGCTTAATTAACTCGATGGTTATCTTTTTTTCATTAGAAATAAGTGATTTTAAATTCGACTCATATGACATGTGAGTGAGGTGAGATAAGGGATTGAAGATAGTTGCCTCCCATCGTGCAACCAAGATAAAAAAAAAAAATTATCTTTTGAATTTATTTACGAAATTAAATAGAATCTACTGGCCAATCAATTTGATTATATGTGGCGTTTCCTCATTACTGCAACAGGGTGGGCCGACCAAGATTTGGTCTATAAAGCCTAATAGGAGAAGTCGTGATACTGATTTGGATACAATTACAATTTGTAATACCACGTTAGATAAGTATATTTTTAACATTAATATGTGTTTATTTCATAAAATAGCTTATACAATATAATGTAACGTTCTATAATTGTTTTTTTAATTTGAAAGTTATGTATGAATTAATATATATTTAATTATTTAATGTTAAATCATATCATGTAAAATACTATTAAAAAAAACATTGTACATAATAGTAGCATAATTGTTGCCTAAATAGTAGAATAGAATTATCTCCTATATATATGTACGGGACATAAGCTTCCCCACTAAAAGGCTAAACTTTAGAACTTGGTTTGGTAATCTCCAACTGATAATTATACTTATATATGGTTGTTTGACAAAAGCGTGGATTGGTTTACAAATAATTATATCGTTTGGGATTTTAATTAAAAGCATCCGGTGGGACAGAGGAATGGATGAGATAGACACGGCAACATGATTAAACATCTAAAAATTTTAGCACAAAATTGGCCATCTTTGCTGACTCTCACACACTACTAACTCGTGTATGCGTAAATTTAAGTTGTTAATTTCAACTAACTTGATGCAATGTAACAGTGATCTCTCTCTCTCTCTCCCTGGGGAAGGAAGATTTGAATTCAGTTAAAAATATATTCTTTTAAATTATTAAATCAGTACAATAACTTCAAGATGGTGGTTTAACAATTAAAGTTTTAAAATTTTAAGTTGAAAATTTCAACTTCGATCTTTGAGTTGGATGGAAAAATTATTTTCTTTTATATAGTTTATAATCAAATGTACAAAGAAAATTGAATCAATTCAAACTAACATTAATCAGAACATTAGTCTAGGTAAATATTTTTTATTATTCTAAAGTTACGTCACCTCTTTTGTAATTATGAAATTACTTTTATACTTTTTCTTTATGCTTAACTTTTGTCTAAATCGATATCTATATGGATTGATTCACCGATTCTTCTTTAATTTTCGTCTCATTGAAAAAATTGTTTTGTATATTTGTCTTGACTAAATAAAAATTATGAATCAGTCCCAGCTGACTAAGTAACATCAAGAACCACTAATAAATTGATGAACATAAAAAAATACAATCACTAATAATTAATTAAGCTATATAGATATGTTAGGTGAATGGATTAAGGCGTGATATTTTCTTAATGGACATCAACTTAACGTTTGGTTTAAGAATGATAACAATTTTGGATCTTGTCATCATGAAGACGACATGATGATGGTATATGAAAGTTTGGGTTTACGATGATGGTGGAGTATCATGTAACACACCATTATTCACCCATTATTACAGCACACATACTATGAAGAATATTGGTAATAACCGACAACTGCTTGTCAAAAGCTGTCCGTAACACAACTCCTACACCAATTACAAGACAACACGGGGCAGTTACACCAAAGGTAGGTCCCAACTGCCAATAACAGCCCCATTTATATATTTAGACATAGTTATAACCATATATTTTAACGTTATGATTACGTAAAATTTTAAAATATTAATTTAATTTAATTATTAAAAAAATTAATAATTGTAACTATAAGTCAATAGATGATAAAATAATTAATATTTATTATTTAATAACTTTTTATTCATTTATATATTGATATTTTTATATATTATAATTTATTGTTTATAAAAAATTATTAATATTTACGTGACCCTAACAATATAGTATGTGGACATACCACACCCTCTTTATCTCCCATCACTTTAATTATTATTTTGCACTGATTGAAATTAATGTGCAAATAAGCCCACATACCCTTCTTCTTTAAAATAGTGATCTTTAAAGTTAGGGGAATCCAAAGTATAAACCTAAAAGCCAAAATTTCTTTTTCCCTCTCCATGAAAAGTTAGGGTTTTAGGGCTGTGCAGGGAGCAGAATCGAGATCTTTTTACCAACTCTTTTTTGGCTTGCTTCATCTCTATCAACTTTAGATATTGTAATGACAAAAATGGAGGACCCAAAAGTTGAGACTTTGAGGATTTTTTGGGCTGTAAAAATTAAAATGCTCGTGGGGGTTTCTGAAAAAGTTCACTTGGCTGGCCCCCTCCATTTAAAACTAAAAGTTTCAAAAGCTAGAATGATTCGTGCTGAATTTTCCTCGGATATATATGGTTTCTGATTTAATGCTGAATGCAAGACAGTAGTACTATGGGATGCTGTTCAGATGTCCCCATTTAAACTTTTCTAAGTCGCCATTTTCATGTAAAGAAACAAAAGAGAAAGCAGAAAGAAAAGGCAAAAATTTATCCATGCATATATATCCCCTCTTTCTTCTCACACACATACTCACATGTGTATATATATACATCTCTTTAATTACAGTATTTAGCAAAAATCAATGAATTAATAAATAGGTAATTCATGTAGAAAAAGTGTGTGTATATATATATATTCATTGATATGGGTGTTTTTGTTATTTTAATAGTATTCATGGTTTCAATTAAAAGACTTATAGAAAAATGTCGCATCATTTGAGATTTAAAAAAAATTAAGAATCAGAATTGATATGTATGGCTATTTTGATGCAATGGCATGTGAGAAAAGCTATCAAAGAAGTCTTTCTTTCCCAAAGCTTTAAATGGCTTTCCAACTCAGGATTATTGTCTTTGGTTGCCAATAAAAATTGTAAAAAAAAAGAAGGTATGAAAGGGAGAGTGTATGGCTATTCTCTCGAGGGAGCGTCTAAGCGTGAGTGTCGTGTTGTTTTCTTTTTTTTTTTTTTTTGGCTTTGCCATAGTGCTTGGACCTCCATGGCTCCATCTCCAAGAGTGGAGACAAAAGAGTCTTCTATTTAATCATCATCAGCCTCCACTCCTTTTCCAACATCATCAATATCCTTCTATGGTTATCCAAATAACATATATGTGATCAATGTATATAGTTAGGTAAAGAAGTTTTTTGCACAAAAGAAACAGCTGATTTAATTAGGGGCCAGCCGAAAGCATTGCATTCATGGCACTAATTGAAAAGCTTAAAAAGGTTTTGGCTAGGAAAGTACACCGGAAATCTTTGGAAAAGACTTGATTTTGGTGCATGCATAGTTAATTTCCGGTTTTTCTAGGGATTGATGTAATTAAGTTTTCATGTTCATACAGCCATAAAGATCATTTTTAGATATTGAAATTAATTGGAAATGTTCATGTTAATTTGATTAATGGTCTAATCTAAGTAATTTGTCACATGTTCTATTAATTTATAAGATAATCATAAATGAATTAAGAGAAAATGATTTAGAATAAATGTCTGTCACACTGCTTTCCATGTGACACCAATATATCTCCCCTAGGAACAACAAAACTCCACTAGGAACAATATTTTCGTAGCCCATACATTTACATATAGATATAATTTATTTCTTTGTTGATGAAAAAAAAAAAAATCATCCTTTAGTTGTGAGTTGGTCTATATGGCTCAATGATTCATTTTTTCTCGTCGACAAATACAAAACTAGACAACATTTTTTCATCCCTTGTAAAAATTTCTCATCTCCCGTAACAATTGACCTATTGCAAAAAGCATCCATTAGTTGTAGATGTCCATACTTTTTCAACTTAATAAAAAAGAAATGAGAGCTTCGATGAACACCTATCCATTTTAGCAAAAGCTTTCTCTTTGGAATTTAATTAATCAAGGCATGGATTGATGTTCATATTGCTTTGTGTAGACCATATGTATAGAGAATATACATTCGCAATTTTCCAACGCCTTTTTCGGGTAACTTTTGAAACTTGCTTAAAGCTGCCTCCTTCCTGTTGGGTTTCCATAATAGTCTTTATCACATGAATTACAAGGTGAGATGCTAACAATTAAAATAGGTTAGTGATAATTTTTTTTTTGTTGAAATAAGAAGTTTTGGATTTGAGTTACATGACATATGATGAGATGCATTAAAAGACAAGAGAGAATAACTTTGATTATGCCAAAAAAAATGAAAAAAAAAAAAAAGAAAAAGAAAAAGAAAGAAACCTTAATATCTTAAGAGGTCTCAGCCTGAATCTTTGCATCCCAAATTTAGTAGAATAATACAAGTTAGAAGATGTCCATTTTTATTTTTTTGGGTCAGGCCCAATAAAGCCTCAGTTCGATTGTGGGCTAATTAATAAAATGGAGTCTACAGAAAACTGGAGCCGAAGGCAGACAAGCATCAGATTGGGTTTCAAGATGAGCTGTGGGCCTATGGATCAATAATGCCGTGCGGTGGATATTAAACTGAAAACCATTATCTAACCGGCGCAATCTCTACCGCCATGCCATGGCTGTCTCCGGTCAGCCGCTGGCGGCTCCCGCCAAACCAACTGCCTCCAACACTCCTCTCCTCCCTCCTTGCTCGCCATCTCTTTCTCCTCCTATTCCGTCTTCCTTGCAAATCCCATCTCCACGAAACCCTCCACTCTCCCATTGCCAATCTTCATACAGTGGTTAAGGTTTGCACAATGGTAAGAATCTTCTTCCCTTTTTGCCATTGATGTTGTGAGGTGAATTTTGTTGCTTTATGGTTTAGAAAATGGCAGATTCAAATTTTCAGTGCTGACATTTGAATATTTTTATGGGTTTTTTTTTCTCCTGATAAATTGTGTTAGAAAGTTTGAACTTTATGCTTCAAAAGCAAATTAGATGCTGTACTTGATAAAAGGGACTTAAAGGGCCTCTTTTATGCTGTAAATCTTTGTCCTTCACATGTGAATCAAATCAAAATATATCACTTAGATTTGAGCATATCCAACTCAAGAAAAATGTGCAACTCAGAATATGATTCTCTTTATATGTGTTGTTAATTAAGTTCTTTTTTGTATAAAGCCTAATTAAGAAAAGCTTTACGGCCATCTGGATTAACTTATCACGGGTGGTTTTTCCTTTTAGATTCTTGTAGTGAATGGATTTGCATCACTTGTAGTCATATTTCAGATTAAATGAGATAAATTTTACTAATCTATTATGAAAACTAAAAGCTTTGGCTTAGTTGAAGCTCAAGCACCTCATAAGTTGCTTTTTCTTAGTTAAAACTATCCAGAAGCTACTGAATTGATTGGCCTCTTCATCGCTAGCCGCTTACTCTAGCAGGTATTTTCATGATTAGCCCTTGAAAATTTTTAATTCATTTGTATGGGGGAAAAAAGTGAGAGTCTTTAGAGCAGGGTATTCTGTTTATAGGGCATATAATTGACATTTAAGAATCTTCTCATTGTTCCTTTTGCAGTAAGATTACTATTCTCTGGAATTCATCTGTGAAAGTTAATGGTAGGTTTAGGGTCATACTCATGAAACAGATTAATCATACCGGTTGCAATTAGTAGCCAGGTCTTCATCTAAATCTCATGTAGCCCAGACAATTTGTTTAACCCCTAACTTCCTAGTGTTGATTTTTTATTACAGCCTTTAACTGCATTGATTTCTTCTATATCGGACATTTGTCTGATTGCTTCTGTATTAAGCATTTTCTCCTGGCTGAAATTGTTCATGTTCAATAATTGGCCCCCAAGAAAGAAATATCTGACCTGATAACAACAAATCATTGTCTTCCGGACAGCTTCTGTCATGTTGTTCTCTACTTGCATATTTGGCCCAGAGATGGGAATGTCTCTATTTTAATGGCTTCCTATGTATGATGCTTTATGCTAAGAGCTGGAAAAATTCAAGTCTTAACCTCCTGTTATGAATTTCCCATTAATAAAGGTACCTGGTTTTTGATATTGAACACAGATATTCAATGATTTCATTTCATATGCAATGAGTATGGGGGACCAGGGACATTGCTGCTGGAGCCTTTCACGGATACTTTTGTTGCTCCAAAGCAGAGGAAATTGCCTGGAGCACCTGTGGCAGCAAGGACACCCCTTTTGTGGGCCCAATATCACGTGGATGAGGATTGGAGGGTTTGGAATACAAACCCAGTGAAGTGACTTCCATTTGTAATTCATAACCACCCCCCCCCCCCCCCCCCTTTTTTTTTTTTTTCTGTTCATGTTGGATTAGATTTCCAATTTATGTGTTAGAAATGCATCAAAATTGGTGACAATATCTAATTTCTGACCAAAACATTACATGCAATACATTGTAAGATCTATTTTTCATTTTGAAGCTATACAGATGCCTTTTATTATTTCAAGAACAGTTGAATATGGGAGCTTTATCTGCAACCGGAAATCTTGATGACAACTTCCATGCATTTAGTTGATTCATATTTCCATGTCTTGGGAGAGTTTATCCATAAAGACCATCTTGAATTGAAAGATGCAGATCATTGTCTTTTTCAAACACAATCTGCATGCTGAAATTGAAACTTTAAAGCACCATCTCCCCGTCAGCTTGCAGCCTCAGAGATGCTCTGCAATGAGGGTCTCCATGCTTTTGACCTCATCGCTGCAGAGTTCACTGATGCTGTCCTTGGCCGGTGTCTTTCTTTCTTCATTGCCTGAAATTTTGACATAAGCCTTTAGTATTTATCGAGTCAAAGAGTATTAAATGTTTTTTTTTTTTTTTTTTCCTGAGAAGAACAAAGAGTAATAAATGTTAGAAAACTGTTTAAATGATACAAGATTTTGTTTCTACTCTGGATTAAATTTTCTCTCTTATCATTTCTCATGCTTGTATTATACAGAGCCTGGATGATTTCATAGATGGGAAGGACATGTATATTGAAAAGCTGAATAATATAATTAATTCAGTGAAAAGTTCCCAAGAAATCATGGTAAATTAAGCTTTGGGGACTTTATTCTGTAAAACAATATCTAGATAGGTTAATATTATATTGATTTAGGGCCCTGAGAGATACCTGGAAGTTCTTCTCCATGTCAGACTTTCTTCCTGACTCACATCCTGAACTTTGATTCTCCGGTGCCTTCTGCAACTTCTCAACAGATCCCAGCTGCTGCGCCTTCACCTTTGCATGCTTCTTCTCTCGCAAGACCCTCATAACCTCTGCAACCAGAGAGAAGAATCAAGAAATTCATATTCAGAACAACTCAATAACCTTCAGACAAAGAAAGGAAACAGAGAAGATGAAGAACTTTGGTACCTTGAGAAGTGATAAGCCTATAAGCATGGCCAAGGGTAAGTGTATCACTTGGCCGGAGAAGCTTAACCCGGGTGAATCGGACAGTCTTCTGATCCTGATTCTCTTCACCGGGGGCAGGCAATGGGATGATCAAAGAAACATGATGTCCTGGATTCATTCTCATTACCTCACTTGCTGCGACAGGCCAATACAACCTCTCTATCTTCCCACAGGGATGCTGTATCACCAAGGCTGCAGCATCTATGGCTTGGCAGTTTCCCATCTCTGTTTCTTCTGCTTCTCTTCCCTATCCAGACAAAGAGGAAGAAGATTGAAAGATAAAGGGGGAAAGAAGGAGGTGAAGTAAACTGCAGTCTCTTTCTGTACAGCTCCCACCTTCCTATAAATATAGTAATAAGAGTCTCACTCAAAAGCAGGCCAAGGCCACCCCCTTATTTTACCAACTTATTCTATGCTAATGTCAATTCTAATGCAATTGACATTAATTAAAAACTGTATTGACAATATATAAGCTACATTTGCTATTAATAATAGAGAAGGTGGTTATTGCATGTTAAATTATGTTTATGTTAAACGTTACATCCTTAACATAAGGGAACCGGCACCTGAACCTTGGAAATGGGGGGCGAGCGCCACTTGGAGATGTGTCAGAAGCCGTTAGCTTGGACTGACATGGCCGGCAGGGTCGATGGAGTCAAGGTTTGGAGTTAGGAGGTGGGGATTAGATAAGTTTGTTTTTGTAATCTTAGTGCCTAAACGAAGGTAGTACTAATTTGCAGGTGTGTTGGGGGAGACTTCCTTTGGCTGGACAAGGACACCCCACCATCTTATCCTGGTTTGCCACCCCTTTCGGTTTTCCTTAACAACCTTGGTCCAAATTTTCAACCTCAAAGTGCTCGGTTTTACATAAAATACTTCTGTAACAACAAGATAACAAATTAAAATCTTGAAAAGTTTCATATTCAAATCTCTTATTTTTTTCATAAAAAAAAAAAAACACATGAATTGTATAAAATAAGTTGTATTTTAGAATAATATGACCACTAAAACAAAATTTATAAATTAACAAAAGCTAAAGCACCAACTTTGTTAGCATGGAATATTGAAACACCAAGCACAACTTTTTGTAAAGCGACATAGTCCAATGCAATTCAAGTGGAAACCTCAAAGTGACATATCTCTCAGGCCTCAGCTCATAATCAATAATTTTTCTTGAGATGCTTTAGGGGAAATGCTAAGGATTTTGGGTTTCTTCCAAGGGGAGTAAAGACTCAAGAGAGTTTGGAATAAATCATCAGAGACCCATTTGCAATAAATTAAGTATAAAAAGACTCATGTATATGATCAAAACTTACCAAATAAAAGAAAATTTATAATATTTTTTGGTACACCAAGATATTATAACTTAAGGCAGCCGCTGGCATTAGAGGCAATCTTTGATAGCCAGATGCACCAACACCAGATACATATTGTCTTATGCTAGGTAAACAGAACCTAAAGAATCGAATGCTTAAAGTTTTCGTATATTTTTATTTTTGCCAGAACCCCTTATTTGCACCCTACACATTTTTTCTTTTTGATGATCAACAACCTAAACTAATTTTTATCTCTATTAACACCTTTCATAATTTAAAACCCGTAAAAATTCACAAATTATCAACAAAATTATGGTGCAAATAGGGGGTTTGACTACTAATTTTTGAGTTTTTTGTGAGTTTTAAATAGTAGAGGGTGTTGATCAAGACAAAAATAAGTTTAGGATGTTGACCATGAGACCGCGAAAACAAAAAATTTATAGGGTGCAAATAGGGTCTTTTGCCAATTTTTTTCCCCCAATTTGATAGAGTAGTTCTTCTTTGCAAACATAATCTTTTATCAATAAAAAAAGAAATATATTTATTAATAAATGAAGCACAAAGGGTATTTTAACCGAATATAAGTCATAAAAAGTTAATAAAAACTATCTACCAACACTTGCTATTGTAACAACAAAATATAATTGTGTGAAAGAAATGTTTTTGCAAGTCAAAACTAACTCTTAAGACCATTTTAAAGCTATATTTGTTTGAACAAACTCTTTTTTTGCACTAGCTCGAACTGAAATAAACAACTCCCATTGTTGTTAGGGTTTTTTTTCTCCTTACCTTTTTTTTTTCATCCACAACTGCTCTTAGGTTTGGAGGTAGGGCTGTGGTTATTTTCACGTACAAAAGTTTTATGATAATATAATTTTTTTAATATTTGTATTTAAAAATATTAATTTTATTTGATTTAATTATTAAAAATAATTAATAACTATAATTATTAATTGATATTTAAGAGAATTATTGATATTTATTAATTAACAAGCTAATATATACAAATACTATAATTACCTTTTTAAGAAATATATATATATATATATACTTACGTGGTCATAACATTTCATTTTATGGCAATAACACACCCTAGAGGTAGCATAGATGTTATTTCGTTATGGGAAGGAGAGAACAATCCTCCTTTCATTAATGATCTCTTGACTCTTGTAAATCTGCTTCATCTTAAAATTAATGTTTTGAATCCCCCGAAGTTTGAAAAATTTTATGCATTACCATTACTAATACTCACATGTGTCCGTGTGAAATGTAAACATCTATGCATAATTATGTCAGTCTTTGTAAGCCATGTGAGGTGTTGGTGAGGGTCTCCGCTCAGACAATAAATGGTGAAATGGACAATTTCTTGTTCAAAACTTGACCGTTATTAGGGGCACCTGACCTTAATTTCTTAATACAGTTGCCATTAATCCCTTGTGGCTTTAGGGTAAAGCAAACCCTAACGGTGTCCATTTCTTGTCCAATGTTAGGAGAACATTGAAAGGTTTTCATCCTTTGTCCTAATCATGCTGATTTCTGATTAAAAAGAAACAATGTAGAGACTAATCGGAGGTCTTCTTAACGGGCTTTTGTTCTTTTTCCTTGTGTATGAAAGGACATGACCAGACAAAAGTTGCTCTGTCCACATTCTTCCCCCTATAATGCAAAATAACAAGCTATCAAAAATTTAAAGAATGTCTTCAAACTATGTATTCTTGTTCATGATCTAATTAGACAAGAGGTGGAAAAGATGTAATTAGATGAGATGGAAAAGATCATTTGCTAGGCCATAGCATCAGAATTAATAGTTTTATTGTCCGCATAAATAACCATTGATAAAGAGGAGACCATCCTAATATTAAAATATCTAACTCTCATTAGTACTAATAATATCTTATAATACAAGTATAAAAAACATGCATTACTTAATCAATACCAATTTTGTTTTGTAAGTACATTACTTGACTAATTCACTTTTTGATCTTATTAGCATAAGTCCTGAGAACAAGAAATCTTATAAAGAATTGTTTACTAACCCTGATCAACAAAAATTTGATTGAATTAATATCTATAATTTAAAATTTTTTATTTAAGATCAAGGTTAAAAGTTAAAATTTTTGAAATATCAATAATTAATCCTTCAATACACAAAAGAAAAAAAAAATTGCCTACCAACTGTGCCGACCTCATTTATACTTTCTATTGCTTGAAGTTTAACTTTATAGCCCCAAGTTTCTCTTCCTTATTGAGGATGAATGATGCTTTGTTTAAATAATGTTGCAAAAGACAATTAACCAGCTGGGATTGAAGTGTAAATCAGAAGAAAGGTACACTGGAGAAGGAAAATTCGTGAGTAATCTCAAAAAACAGAATGGAATCCGTGCACAGGGAGATGGGACGTGAGGAGATGCAGTAACTGAGAATATAAAATGGTTCAGATTACTAAATCATTTAAAGGTCAAAGATGTGGGCTGATCTGACTAATTAAGGAAAGATTAGGGAATAATTTAGGTATGTGGGTCGTTCGTTTTCCTTCGTTTTTTCTTTTTTCTTTTTAATTTAGCATATTTTGAATAAAAAGAAAAAAAAAACTTAGCATATTTTATCCGTCTTACTGTCATCCTTATCGGAACATTTTTTCTTTAAAATTAATTCAAATGAAATTTTTTTCTTAAATCAAAATTTTATAAATAATTATTGTACGTGACATGTTAACAACTTAAAAATATATTTAATTTACAAGAAAAAAATGTTATATTAT